AGTAGATCATAACAATATTTATGATAATTTTCCAGGCAAATTTGCCTGGAAAAGCCTACAGTTTAAGGGATAATATACTAAATATCATTTAATTTATAAATAGTATTCGCTAATAATAAAAGTTATTCCAAGTATATTACGCTATCTCTACTATGATTTAGTTGGAGATTCAAGTGCAATAGATAATTTACATTCTGCTGAAATAAATCAAAGAATAAAAATAATGCTTGAAATTAGAGATCCAGAAATTATTATAGATATGCGGATAAATAATGGATTTAAAGGAACTAAATTTGATGAATTTTGAAATGAAATGGCATGTTATTTTGAAGAAAATCTTTTATATGTACATGATAGACGTCATAATAATATGCTTTATTTGCCAAGTTTTATTTCTGTTCGTGATTTAAGAGAATCAATTATTGAATGATTAGAAAATAAATATAATGAACATCCTCTTTCTGATAATCATTTAATACCATCTGATCGGTGGATTTCTTATCAGTTTTGTCCAAAGAATCCTTGGTATAAAGCAAGTGCACAATATACAGGTCAATTTCAAATTAAATATATGGTGCAAACTCGACAATTAAGAAAAACTCATGTTGATACTCACTATTGTCAAGCAATTTTTAAATATATTCAGCATTTTGCATCAAAATATAAAAAATATACTTGCCTTATTTTTGCAGATGATAAACATAAAATACCAATAGGTGAATTAGTACCAACTAGTACTGGAGTTCGAAATAAAAAAATGGCAACATCAACAAAAATGGAACTTTCAGCAGCAGATCATGATTTTACGAAACTCTCAATTACTCCTTCTGTATCTTTGTTTGCTAAAATTCCAGATGATCCAATTCAATCATTTTATGCTGGACAAGTTTATGTTTCATTAAAAAATACAATATTTCAGGCTAGCTCTGCTCTTAGACATGCTACTGAATTTTATAATTCAATAAAGCAATACTATTTTAATGCTAATTCATTGCCAGAAATAGTTATAGTTTATACAGATGGAGGTCCTGATCATCGGTGTAATTTTGGTTCTGTTCAAATTTCACTTATTGCGCTTTTTTTAAATGGAAAATTTGATTTAGTTATTGCAGCACGTACAGCACCTTTTCATAGTTGGGCTAATCCTGCTAAACGAATAATGTCTATTCTTAATCTTGGTTTTTAAGGTGTTGCACTTCAAAGAGAACAAATGTCTAATGAATCAGAAGAAATATTTCAAAAATTATATACATTAGATACAATTCGTAAAGAAGCACAAAAAATTTCTCTTTAAAATCTGAATTGCAAACTTCAATTAATAATATACAAGATATTTTATTTAATCAAATTAGACGGTTAAAATTACATGATGATTATTTTGAAATTAATAATCCAGCATCAGAAGAAGATATAAATATATTTTTCGATGTAATAATTTTAATTTTTATTAATTTAAAATTTATTTAATTTATTTAATTTACTTATATTATTATTTACTACAAAAGATAATTGCCCAAATTGATCCTGAATTAGATAAATCTATGACTACAATGAATCAATTACAAAAAAAAAAATCTTACCAAAGTTTTATTAAAAGTCATTGCTGTATTAGAAATTATATGTTTCAGGTATTATTAATATATAATAAATTATTATTTATTAGCTTTGTTATAATTGAGAATTTATTTATATTTAATAAGTATAATATCTAGTATAAAAATATTTGATATTTTTAATTTACTAATTTACTAACTTCAAAGACTATATTTTTTATATTAAATATTATACTCTATAGATATGAATATTAAATTTATTACTTATTAATTATATAGATAATGAAATGTAATCAAAATGAATGTAAAATATGTAAAAAAGTTTGAATGTCACAAGAAGATTTTCAGACTTTATCTTTTATTCCAGATCCTGAACCATTAGAAAATGGTAATTATTAATTTAAATTTTATACTATTAAAATATTTATATTAATTTATTAATTTATTAGATCAAGACCACTATAAAGATTTTGATACAATTTATGGTCAATTAACATCAGAAAGATTTCGTCCATCTGCTACAAATGTAGTAGCTAATGAGGAAACAAATGAAAAAAAATCAGGCCAATTTATTAATTCAAAAATTCAATGTATAGTTTTATGTGAACACTGTGGCAAAATGCGATGTGTTTATAGTAATGCTAATTTAACAACTGCTGAAGAAGCTAAGTTTCAATCTGCTTTTGATAGTTTATGCTATACATGTAGATCACAATTATTACCAGAAGATCATGAACTTTTTAGCCAATTAAGTGTTAGATTAAATCTTACCTGTGATTCTCCTATTGAGTCAACATATTTTTCATGGCGACTTAAAAAATTTGATGTATGCTATTGGTGTGGAGAATCCAAAGATCTTATAGAACCCTCAGAAATGCTAAAAGCTGAATGGAAAACTATATATCCATTATGTGAATTCTGCAAAAGTAGTGGGAAAACATGGTTTAAAAGAGCTCAAAAAAAATTTACTCCATTAAATAATAGTAATAATGAGGAAGAAAATAATGAAGGCCGTAAAAATAAAACAAGCAAAAAATGAAAGACTTAATTATTATAGTTTAACTTTTTTAAGCAACTGTTTATAAATTCTTTAGCACAAATATAATCTAGTAATTTAGCTTAACTATTACATCATTTAAATAATTAATAGTAGATAAAGTGATTAATATTTCTTGGCAAGATTTTGATAAGCGAACACAAATTCATACCACTTTTTAGCTATTTTACTTAAGTAGAAATATTATATGTATTATGTTAGAAAATTTTTTATTTGTCATAATTTTATATAAATTTAATATATATATTAAATAAACTTTATATGTTGAAGCTATATATATACAGTCTGCCCTCTATACAGTCACTCTCCATACAGTCACACTCTCTTTATAAGCACACAAATTTTTAGAATAAACTTATATAAAATATAAGAAATTTGACCTCTATATAGGCACAATTTCTTATAAGCACAGTATTTCTTGGAACCGAGGGCATGACTGTAGAGAGGTTAGACTGTATTTAAATTTTATTAATTTTATTTAACCAAGCCTAGGTTCACTTGAACCAAATTTAGGTTCAATTGAACCTAATTTAAGTTCATTTAAACCTGATTTAGATTCACTTGAACTACTTCAGATTTATAAGAACCTACATTAGGTTCGTTTAAACCTATATTAGATTCATTTGAATTTATATTAGATTCATTTAAACCTAAGTTTAGGTTCGTTTGAACCTATTTTAGGTTTGTTTGAACCTACTTTAGGTTCACTTGACCCTACTTAACATTCTTTGAACTTAATTTAGGTTCACTTGAACCTAATTTAGGTTCACTTGAACCTAATTTAGGTTCATTTGAACCTAATTTAGGTTCACTTGAACCTAATTTAGGTTCATTTGAACCTTGTTTAATTTTAATAGTTGTTTAATTTTCCCCCCTCCCCCCCCCCTACAAAAATTAAAAAAATAACGTTAAACGAAGATTTAATTTCAAACATCCTTATTAAAACTAAACTATTTCTAGTTTTTACTATAAAAAGAAGCCTTGTTATAGTTTATAAATTTTTTCATGATCCCACCGAATTGATTAAAACCTCCAGGTTATTAAGCGTCACTAAAGTTACATGTACTTTTACTAAATAACTCAAAATTAATTATAATTGTCTAGCTCAAAAATTAGAAAAAGTAGTTTTAGGATAAAATTAGTCTTGCTTAAACGTTTACGAAGTATTTTCATTGCCAAAAATAATAATAGTATGAAGCATGAAAATTAGGATCATTAAAGTAATAAAGTAAATTTTCTAAAAAAAAAAGAAAAAATTGGGTAATTCTTTCAATATAAAAATTCACTATACAAGTTATTTTCTACAAATAATACACTGTAATTCGAACACAATGATGAATTTATTAGGTGGTTGACGCAATAGACTTGGCGTAATTTTGCAGAAAACTAGGGAGAAATTGATGTAGAAAGAAATGTTTAGCTCAGAAGTGTTAGCTTAGTTTTAAACGTATTTATCAGTAATAAATAATCAATTCGTTAAAGGTGTTACAATGCGCTTGTGATAATCACACAGAATGAAACAAATGAACGTTACGCAATGCATATCTTCAATAAATTTGACAATTCTATTTGTAGCATATTCTTTCATTACGACAAAATGTCAATTACAAAACGACCAGAAAAAATTGATAATCCTTTAGAAGTTATCAAAATTTCCAACGAAGTTAGCCAATTGAATTTGGAAGATAAATCACAGAATTTTCTTAATGAAATTATCAAAGAAATATATAAACTATATAATGAAAAAAAATTAAAAGGCAAAAGTGACAGCACAACATTTGACGCATTAGAACAATTTCTAGTCAAAAAAAAGCAAAATCCGGATAATATTATCAAATATTGCATAGATAATCAATTTGATCCTATAGGTCAATTTAACCTTGCAATTTGTTATCGTTTTGGTAAATGGGTTGAAAAGGATGAATATAAGGCATTCATTTATTATCAAAAATCTGCAGAGATGGGTAATTCTAATGGATTATTTGGAGTTGGAGATTGTTATTATTATGGAATTGGAGTTGAAAGGGATGAACATAAAGCATTCATTTATTATCAAAAATCTGCAGAGATGGGTAATGCACTTGGAATAAATAATGTTGGATATTGTTATGATTACAGAATTGGAGTTAAAATGGATGAACATAAGGCATTCATTTACTATCAAAAATCTGCAGAAATGGGGGACGCTGTCGCTATACATAATGTCGGATGTTGTTATCAATATGGAGATGGAGTTTGCAAGGATGAACAAAAGGCCTTTGAATATTATTTAAAAAGTGCCGAATATGGAGATTGTTGTGGAATGTATCGTGTTGGATCGTGTTATCAGTTCGGGATTGGAGTAGAAAAGAATAAAGATTTGGCATTTGAATGGTATTTAAAATCAGCTGTTGCTCAACATAATTGTGGTTTTAATAACTATTTCCGATGGATAGAATATGAAAATTTTCGAAACATTGAAGAAATAGGCAGAGGCGGTTTTTCCGTAGTGTATAAAACGTCATATGAGACATCATATGGAACAGATGAAGAAGTTGCAATTAAGATAATAAAGGATTCGCATAAAAATAAGCAACTTTTTTTAAACGAGGTATTTTTTTTTTTTACATGTGAATTTATATTGTTTATAAATTAATAATTGTATATAATTTGTTTATTTTTAGTTAAAAGCGTATCATGAGTTTGGTGAATATCTTGGCATATCAATGGATAAAAATAGCGGAGACTTTATTTTAATGATAAGTTACGCAAAATTTGGTTCATTACGAGAAAATCTTGAAGAAATCTTTATATCGGAGTGGAAAATTAAATTAAAAATATTATGCAATATCATTTATGACTTATCACGTATTCACTCTAAAAAGTTTATACATCGAGATTTACATTCGGGTAATATTTTATTAAAAGACCATTATGAAGCTTATATTACAGATTTAGGTTTATCAATATCGTTTGATGAAAAACAAGATGGTCAAATTTATGGTGTTTTGCCATATTTAGCTCCTGAGGTTTTGGGAGGAGAACAGTTCACGCAGGCAGCCGATATTTACAGTTTCGGAATGATTATGATAGAAATATCAACTGGACAAAGGCCTTACGATAATTGCAATTTTGATGCTGAATTAGCAATAAAGATTTGTAATGGATTGCGACCTGAATTTAATGTAGAGACACCAAAATGTTATGTTGAATTAGCAAAAAGTTGCGTTGATTCTGATATGAACAAACGACCCACGGCTGTTGAGATTCTTAATAAACTTGAAAAATGGAAAAAAATTATCAATATTAACAATGATGATTATAGTAATAATAATAACGATTATGATAGCAATGTTAGAAATGATAATGATAGTGATTACGATAATTATTATAATGAAGATAATAATTTTGATGATAAGGATAATTTTGATAAAGAGGATAATTTTGGCGAAGGGAATAATTTTGATGAAGAGGAAGAGGAGATCAAACAGCAATTCTTAGAAGCTGATAAATTTAACAAAAAAATGCCAATTATTACGCAAAAACATGAAAATAGTGTGTATGCTTCTAAACTTATTGATACAAGAGTAATTGTTTCGATGTTTGAAATTTTTGAAAATTTTAATAACAATCAAGATCTTAAACCAAGTAAAGAGATCTATCTGGATTAATAATGTTTTATAAACAATAAGGCTAAAAAATATATGGGGACCGGACAACTAAAAGGGGGCTTATGGCATTTTTTTCAAAAATGAGTTAATTACACTATGATATAATACGTATAAGTATTGCTCTATATATGAGTGACGAAAAGGGAAAACCTGTAATTCGAAAATAGATTCTTACGAAAATAGATTCTTATGAATTTTATAATGGTCTATTTTTCGAATTACAGGTTTTCCCTTTTCGTCACTCATATAATAAATTATAAGCCGATGGCTACTTGTTTAAATGTCCATATACAAATGTGATCTAAAATTAGGATTTAGAAATCTAGTTGTCGATCCTTGCTGCGGAGTCATAGAGAAGCATTCATGTGATTGGCTAATTTATGTTGATCTAACAGGTTATACTAATACCGTAAATCGCCATATACAAGACCCCCCTTGATAGTAGATCCACTAGGTATTATACCCGAGTCTATTATGTGGGT